GGGGAGAAACTTGTTTAACCATCTTAAGGTGTACAAAGGAGCAGAACATCCTCACCAGGCACAGAAGCCAATCGATTTGCCAATACGTGACAAGAACATCTACATGTTGAGTTGATACTGCGAGAAACACTCCTCGGACGTCATTGAAGATGTTTCTTTCTTCTTTAGTGTTAATATTGTATTTCTGGCTTTTAACACCCCTATTGTACTTTGTAGGACACGGGCTTTCTTTATTTGTATTTATCAGAATGAGGGTGTTATGGGGAAGATTGCTCTTTCAACAGTTTATTGTCTTTGATCTCTTTTACAGTGAATGGTTGATGTCCTATTGAGCCGTAGTGAATACTGACTCCTTTTAATTCAGCATAGATTAAATTGTCATGTCACTATAACTGGACCAACTTAGCTGGTAAAACCTATGATCAACCATTTTCTTAAATAAAAAATATTTAAGTTTTGGAAATATCATTTGAAGGGCGGGTTGGTCTTGGAATTATATGTCGTACGTGGTGGGATAAATGAATGAGCATGACAATTTTAACTTCATTAAGAGTCACCCTTACCAAAAACAACTCTTGCATTTATTTCACATTTCACTTTAGGTGCTGTGATGTTCATTGATTGAGTACAAAAACCTATTTATTCTATATTTTTCCCTTTCCTTTATCCTTGCGTCTTTTATTCATTCATTGAATAAATTGAAACAGCACTGAGTGGGGAAGTGATATATGCACTCCACAATTTGATAGTGGCACTCCACTTTTTTAATTCTTTACAAATATTGACATTATTGCCCTCTAAAAATGCTTCTTCCTCATTCTACATGCATCCCTCACGCACATTCCTCCCCAAACAATTTAACAAATTTTGTACTCCGTAATTTTGAATATAAAAATTGTGTATGGGTTGAAGATGAGAATCTAATTAATAAATAGTCATTTTTAAGTTATTTTTTTTAATGGTAGACTAGATTTGTAATAGTATATTCAAGACAAAAAAATTATTTATGCAATTTTCTCCATCCTTAATTTTTAAATTTAAAAAAGATGAACCCCACTAAGGATAAAAGTTCTCTCGGTTCAAACTGGTCATTTATCTCAAAGGAGAAAAATGAAATTTTAATTTAGACTAAACATCTTTTTTTAAATAAAGCTTAATACTTCTCTATCTAGAATTAGAGTTGTTCTTCTGAGGTCCGATCCTAAGGTCTACGTATGAGATATACACCTCATACTTTTTATAAGACGTCAAATTAATCTTTTTTTCCTAAAAACTCAATTCTTTTACAATATTAATGCACTAAGGTCTATAAAATGAGAATGAACCTTAGACGAGCTTGCCCTAAAATTAATGGTCTCCCATGCCACTTTTAAACTCTGATCTCTATTTTTCAAGATTTCACGTTCTCGACCAACCGAGCTACCCATGCGGGAGATTTAATTTGGGGTGGGGTGGGGGGTGGGGGGGGGGCAGGGGCACGAGTTAGGAATTGTTTTATGGTCAAGCTGAGAATTGTATGACCCTCAAGTAGATTGGTGGGTATTTAATTACTTCTTCAGTCCCTATTTATAGTGTTTGTTCATTATTTACAAGGTCAAATTTTATTCACTTTCTTTTTCTATTTTCGTTAGCAATTTGATAAAATAAAGTACTATTATCACTACTAGTTTTTGTAGAACTTTTGATATACCCCGGAGTAATATCTTAATATGTAATTTTTATTTTTAACTCTATAGAATTTGTCATATAAAATGATTTGAAAATAATTTCAATCATACATCGTAAACCAAAACATGCATTATAAATTGGGACGGAGGGAGTACATCCATGAGTGTTATCAAAAGAACGCCTCATTTTAAATATAGTTTGGAGATTGATAAATTGAAATAATAAAACGAAATAAAAATGACTTTTTTCATTTTTTATTTTTATATATTACTCCTTTGTGAAAAAAAGGTCATCCTTTTCTTTTGTTAAGATATACTCCCTATACGGACCGATGACCAGGTTGTAGTTTTAACTAGACCCAATCTCCCACCTCTAACTGCCTTTCAGCCCTATGCTTATCTGCTTGAACCTTCATCTTGTGTTGAGATTTTAAGAGTTGAAACTTCAGCATTTGGATCATGGCCTCCCTTTTCCGCAGTGACCTATCAACAGCTTCAACTCTGGTCTCCCATGGTAAATAGGGCAAATAAATAGGAGGCGGCTGATTGTAAACCACTTCATATGGAGTCATTTGAGTACCAAAATGATATGATGTATTGTACAATCATTATGCTAAGGGAATCCACTTTCTCCACTCTTCTAAAACTCGCTTAAGAATACCTTATCCCTGTCACACACAATGGTTTGGGGCCAACCATGTAACTTAAACACATTGTTTAAGTAGGCTTCAGCCACCTTTGCAGCTGAAAATGGATGTCTCAGTGTCATGAAAGGAGCATATTTTTTTGAATCTATCCACCACCACTAGTATGACTTTCTTTTTTCCATACCTTGGGAGGGCTTCTATGAAATCCATAGAGATATCCCTCCATATTTCAACATGCATTTGAAGAGGTTGTAGTAACCCTGGGTAAGGGCTATTGTAACTTTTGCAGCTTTGGCAAGTGATGCATTGCCTAATATGATGTTGGCCATCCCTAGTCATGCCCTTCCATATAAACAAACTTTTAAGCTTCTTGAGTGTGGCATCTCTTCCTGAGTGTCCTCCAGTAGGTGAGCTATGCACCCATTTTAGTATCTGATTCTTCAGCTCCTAACTAGGGCCTATAACCAATTTGCCTTTCTTGCTTAAGAACTCCCCTTGTAGGCTGTATTTAGGTACTGTCAGGCCTTGTTCCGCTTTGCTATGACTTCCACCAAATTAGTGTCCAAAGAATAACTTTCTTTGATGAAAGTTAATGCATCAGATTGTATTTTAGAGATGACTAAGGTCAACAATTCTGAACCCTTGATTCTAGAGAGTGCGTCAGCCACCACATTTTCAACCTCTCTCCTATATTGTATTTCATATTGGAACCCCATAAGCTTGGATAACAAGAATTGCTGGAAAGGTGTTGAAATTTTCATTTCCAACAGCCATTTCAAACTCTTCTAATCTGTGATGATCACAAATGGGCTACCACTCAAGTATTGTTCCCATTTTTGAACTGCATGAACCTGATAAGTAGTTTTTGGATTAGTACTTTTTTATTCTTTTTTAGGCATTCTTAATATTTTTAGTGTTTAATTTTTAGTTGTTTAATAAGTTTTTTTTAATTTTCATTTTTACTATCTTTTAATTTTTCTTTAAAAAATAGAAGTTTTTAATCAATTTTATTTCATTTTTTTATTTTTATTTTATTTTTTCTAACCCAAGTTATTAGATATCTTACTTTTTGGAGAAAAGTGTGACAAAAATACCAAAATGCAATTCAAGTTTGAGATGAAGATATTGATTTTGGGCCTAAGCCCAAACCCATTATTAAATCAACAACAAAATTGGCCCAAGACTCCATCCTCTTTAGTTTCACGCAAAAAGGAGAACGCATCAACGCCATCTTCTTCTTCATAGCGCGGGAGGCGGAAGAACAAATCAATGCTCGCGACAATTAATCATCCAACGAGAAGAATTTCAACGGGACAAATTGAAGGCAAATTGCACAATTCAAGGGGGGAATCCAAGCGGATTTGGCCGCTGCTATCTACGCACTATGGCGGCGACCGGTGGAGAAGTCCGGCGACGATGGTGGTGGCCGCGGCGGCGGCAACAGCTCCAGTGGGCGGCAATCTCTAACCCCGGTCTTGGTTCCTTCAAGCTCCAATTCCTTCAATTTCTTCATCCTCTTCAACAATTGGTAACCCTTATTTGTCAATTTTTATGTTTTCCTCCAATTCTATGTAAAAGTTTGTTTTTTATACAATTTTACATTTTTTGTTTGTTTGTATTTGTTCCAAAAATTTCCAAAACATGGTTGGTGTTTTTTTATGAGTGTTTTTTTAATGTTTATATTAAATCCCGAGAATTGATTCAAACTAGTTTTCTTCAATTATCGAGCAAGTTGTTGTTGAATTGGTTGAATTGTTTCAAATTCATAAGTAGGTTGGTATGTGGAATTCGGTTTTTGTTGAAGCTATCTTAGCTCCATAAGATAGTTAAATGAACTCCGAATTCATATGTGATTCTTTGTTGTGCTTGTGTTTGTTGATTTTAAGGATTTTGGACTTCTTAGCTCCATAAGATGATTCATTTTTCTTAAAATTCGTTATTGAGTGATTGTTATGTTTTCGTATGTTCGTTTGTTGTTTTCGTTGAGTTGAGGTTGTTTAAGCTCAAAAACAATTCTTGATTTATTGAAAATAAGTTGTGTTCATTTATGTGAATAGAAAGAACGTCATTGGTTTTAGAAGTTCATGGAAATCTGTGAAATGTGCTCATCATTAGAAGAAAAAATTTATTAAAATGCATAAGGTATTAGCGGTTTGTGAATAGATTATGTATGAGAGTTGAATGCATAATAGATTCTCTCTTTTATAGACTTTTTCTATGATGGAAGTATGTTTTCATGCTTGAATAGAGAGTTGGGGTTCTAAGGTATATTTCAAAACGGGCTTTTGAATTGCATGACTTCGGGCCGTGTGGAGAGTTGACAATCCTTCATATCGTGGTTAAGGAAATGAATCGACTCGGCCTTTGATTGATTTTTTCTATTCTTAAGTGCGTAAGTTACGTAATATATTGTCTATGTGCCTACTATACGTGTAATGTTCAATTTGTGTTTGTTCTCTTTTACACTTTGTTTCGGGTTCTTGGCGGTGTTTTTTGGACTACCTTAGTTGGAGAAGTTGATTATCTTTAGAGCTTGTTTTCCCCCATTTTATAAAAAAACCAAAAAAATAAGAAAAATAAAAAACCAAAAAAATACTTTTTTTATTCAACCCCCCCTTTGTGTTGTGTTTAAGTTATATCATATGTTCTCTGATTATTTAAGTTATATTTATAAGTTTTTATATTTATTTAGTTATAAGTTTTATTATAAGTTTTATAAGTGTTATCATATATGTAGTAGTTAGTTCATTTTCTTTAGTGACAATGTGTGTGCATGCTATTTTGATTTCAAAAGTACAAACTTTCTCCGTGGGATCGACCCTTACTTGTGTTAGGATTGAATCAAGAACACTCACAGAAATCCGATGAAGAAGGTGAAGAAAAAACGAGAGAGTAAAAGTAGAGAGAGAAAGTGAAACACGTGAAATAACGTGGTAACACCCCGTGAGTAAACTTCCACGGCGGCTAGATGTGTTTATTGACGATTTCAGGCAGATACAATTACAGAGAATTTGTCTCTTGTCTCTCTGCAAAAAATAGCTACAAAGGAGAATATATATAGGCATTACAACTTAATCATTAAGCAAACTTAGCCATTGAGTAAACTTAGTCATTAAGTAAACTTAACTATTAAGCAAACTTAACCATTAAGTAAACTTAACCATTAAGTATCAGGCTCCACAACCTAACAATTCTCCCACTTGGAGACTGATCCAATCATCTCAGAAATTGCCAACATCATCAATATCTTCACCGCACCGCAACATCTGTAGTGAACAACTACAGAAGACCAACCGAGGTCTTGCACAACCCCAATTTCCCAACATCAACATGTTTCGTCAACATGTCTGCCGGGTTCTTTGCACCCTCTATCTTCTCCAAGCTCATGTCACCAGCCTCCACTGCCCTACGAGTGAAATGGTAACGTCTTCTGATATGCTTGGTCTTCGAATGATAGACTGGATTTTTCACCAATTGGATGGCACTCTGGCTATCTGAGTAAAGGATTTTCACACTCTGCTTCTTTCCCAACTCTTCCAGATAGTCTGACATCCAAATCATCTCTTTCCCAGCTTCAACTATTGCCACATATTCAGCTACAGTAGATGAAAGAGAAACACACTTCTGAAGCCTAGACATCCAACTCACTGCTGTTCCACCTATGGTGTAAATGTACCCAGATGTACTCTTGCTCGAGTCCACATCTCCACCAAGGTCAGCATCCACAAAACCTTGTAGAATCACTTCACCTTTGCCAAAACAAAGTGAAGTACTGGATGTACCTCTCAGATATCTCAGAAGCCACTTCACAGCTTCCCAATGCTCTTTCCCAGGGTTCGCCATGTACCTGCTAACAACTCCCACTGCATGTACTATGTCAGGTCTAGTGCCGACCATAGCATACATCAAACTCCCAACCGCCGAAGCATATGGAACACGTGTCATGTGCTCTCGCTCCTCAGCCGTCTTGGGTGACTGCTCCTTTGACAATTTCATGTGATTTGCCAACGGAGTAGTCCTGGGTTTAGCATCATTAACCCTGAATCTAGTCAGCACCTTTTCAATGTACTGCTCCTGAGATAGAATTATAGTGCCAGCAGATCTATCCCGAGAAATCCTCATCCCCAAAATCTGCTTTGCCGCACCCAAATCCTTCATCTCAAACGCCGAAGACAGCTTTGCCTTTAGAATGTTAATCTCCCTCATGCTTGATCCTGCAATCAACATATCATCCACATACAAGAGTAGAAAGACATAAGAATCAGTGTATTTCTTGAAGTAACAACACTGATCTTTTTCAGCCTTGCAGAAACCACTCTTGATCATGAAGGAGTCAAACTTGTTATACCACAACCTTGGTGCTTGTTTCAGTCCATACAAACTCCTATTTAGTTTGCATACCATGTGTTCCTTTCCCGAAACAACAAATCCTTCTGGTTGTTGCATATAGATCACCTTGTCCAGATCTCCATATAAAAACGCTGTTTTTACATCCATCTGCTCCAAATGCAAATTCTCCGATGCAACAATACTCAATAGAATTCGGATAGAGGTTAACTTCACAACAGGAGAAAATATTTCAGCATAATCAATACCTTTCCTTTGTGAATAACCTTTAACCACTAACCGAGCCTTGAACCTCTTCTTCCCATCTGGTTCAGTCTTGATCCTGAACACCCACTTACTCAACAAAGCTCTCTTCCCTGCGGGTAACTCGGTCAACACCCAAGTGTTGTTCCTCTCAAGGGAGCTCATCTCATCATCCATGGCTTGCTCCCACTTGACTGAATCCTCCACNGTTAGCAACAGATAGTGTAATGAAGGTGAATACCTATCTGGTACCCTGCTAATCCTGGATGATCTCCTCAACACCTGCTCAGGTGTCACTTGCTCCACCTTAGGTTCTTCAACAACAGTGTGTGGAGTTGGTTGAGTTTCTGCTTCAACATTTATGGGGGTACTTTTCTCCAACTCAACCTCAACTCCCACTTGCTTCGTAGTCTCTGGAACCTTCTGCTCTCTGTCCTTGTCCTTGTACAGGACAGACTCATCAAATGTCACGTCACAATGTCTCAGGATCTTTCTGTTCTTGTCATCCCAAAACCTGTAACCAAACAAATCAGAACCATAGCCTATGAAGTAACACTTCACAGCCTTGGCATCAAGCTTGTCTCTCTTCTCTGGGTCAACATGAACATATGCCGTGCAACCAAAAGTCCTCAAGTGTGAGTACTTGAGTTCTTTTCCGGTCCACACCTCCTCTGGAATCTTGAACCCCAAAGGAACTGATGGTCCCCTGTTGATCAAGTATGCAGCTGTGTTCACAGCATCAGCCCAAAATGTTTTGGGCAGCCCACAGTGTATCCTCATACTTCTTGCACGCTCATTCAATGTTTTGTTCATCCTCTCAGCAACTCCATTTTGCCTTGCCTTACCGGGAACTGTTCTCATCAATCTGATTCCCTCAGCTGCACAGAATGCCTTGAATTCTGACTTGTCATACTCTCCTCCATTATCAGACCTCAAGCACTTGATTTTCAGGCCAGTCTGATTTTCCATCTCAGCTTTCCACTTCTTGAAAGTCGCAAATACATCTGACTTATGTTTCAAGAAGTAAACCCATACCTTCCTGCTGAAATCATCAATGAAGGTGACATAAAATCTTGATCTTCCAAGTGATGCGACTGGAGATGGTCCCCAAACATCAGTATGGACCATCTCCAACCGTACTTTCTTCGGCTCTCTTGGCGTCTTCGTAAAGCTGACTCGTTTTTGTTTGCCCATAACACAACTCTCACAAATACCCATATCAACAGGCGTTAAGCCCTCCAATGCTCCTTTTGCAGCCAGCATCTTCATTCCTTTAACACTCATATGTCCAAGTCTATCATGCCATAGACTTGAACTAGAAACATCATCAGCATCAGCAGCTATGTTAATACACCCTGCAGTGGTGTACAAAGTTCCAAATTTTGTGCCTCGTGCTACAACCATAGCACCTTTCACAATCTTCCAAGAACCTTTCCCAAACTCTGCTGCATAGCCCTTGTTATCCAACTGACCAATAGAGATCAGATTCTTCTTGAGACCAGGAATATATCTGACATCTTTCAATGTCCATTGATTTCCTGCTGGTGTTTTTATGGAGACATCCCCTTTCCCTTCAATCACCAAGGCCTTGTTATCAGCAAGATACACCTTTCCAAAATTTCCAGATTTGAAATTTTGGAACTCCTTGCTTGGTGACGAATGGAAAGATGCACCAGAATCCAAAATCCAAGATTCAACAGGGCTGTCCACACTGAGGATTAGAGCATCCCCAATATCCTCTGCTGAATTTACAGAATCACCGTCATCTCCAGATTTCTGATTCTGCTTCTTCTTTGGCTTCTTACAGTCCGCCTTAAAGTGCCCTTTGTCTCCACAATTCCAACAAGTTATATTGGATCTATTCGGAGACTTGCCTCGATTCTTTGATTTTGATCGGCCATGTTGATGTTGGCCCTTGAACTTGCTTCTACCCCTTCGGTCAACGCTGAGAGCACTGCCCGATGAATCACCCATTTCTCTCTTGCGAATACTTTCGCTAAGAACAACATCATGGATTTCATCGAACTTTAGTTTCTCAGACCCACGAGAACTACTAATTGCAGCAACAACAGTATCCCAAGACTCGGGCATAGATGACAGCAAAATCAACGCCTTAATTTCATCCTCGAAATTGATTTCCACAGAACACAGTTGACTCACAATCATATTGAAATCATTTATATGATCAGCCACTGATCTGTAAATTGAACAATCTACGCATCAAATATACCTTGTTCATCGCAGATGGTTTTTCGTACATATTTGATAGGGCCTTCAATAGACCCGCCGTAGTATTCTCTTTCACGATGTTGAATGCCACGTTCTTCGTCAAAGTCAACCAGATCATCCCTAACGCCTGACGATCCTTGAGCTTCCACTGCTCCTCTGTCATGGAATCCGGCTTCACCCCAGTCAAGGGTTCGTGAAGATCTTTCTGGTACAGATAGTCTTCGATTTGCATCTTCCAGAAACCGAAATCGGATCCATCAAACTTCTCGATTCCAACCTTCGATTTCTCCATCTTCAGTGATCGTGTTGATTCTCCTGAGCTCCGATACCAGTTGTTAGTATCGAATCAAGAACACTCACAGAAATCCGATGAAGAAGGTGAAGAAAAAACGAGAGAGTAAAAGTAGAGAGAGAAAGTGAAACACGTGAAATAACGTGGTAACACCCCGTGAGTAAACTTCCACGGCGGCTAGATGTGTTTATTGATGATTTCAAACAGATACAGTTACAGAGAATTTGTCTCTTGTCTCTCTGCAAAAAATAGCTACAAAGGAGAATATATATAGGCATTACAACTTAATCATTAAGCAAACTTAGCCATTAAGTAAACTTAGTCATTAAGTAAACTTAACTATTAAGCAAACTTAACCATTAAGCAAACTTAACCATTAAGTATCAGGCTCCACAACCTAACAACTTGCCCTAGCTATAGTTCTTGTTTGATTATATCTTGGGGGTTAGCTAAGGAGTATTTTAAAAAAATTTAGAGTAAATTCCCAAAATGGTCCTTTAAAATAAGGTGTTTTCCCAATTCAGTCCTCAATAAGTTTTAATTACCTAAATGGTCCTTTATAATTGAGATCTATTTCCAATATGGTCCTTTGTAAATAATGTTACTCAAATGATGATTAATTGGGAGATATTTTGGTATTTTGATCATCCAAATTTAAATTATATTTTTGAAATTGTCATTTTTGTACAACTAAATTTAAAATTTAAAAAATACATTGACTATAAATAATTCATGAATTATTTAAAACATAGAAAAATCTTTTAAATTTCAAATCAAATACACATATTTAATTAGAAAAACCATTTTGGGAAAGCACTTCATTATAAATAATGATTTTAAGAATTAATTCTAAATTTAGCGAATAAAAAATACCCAAATACCCTCAATTAATCTGCATTTGAGTAACACTATTTACGAAGGACCATATTGGGAATAAATCTCAACTATAGAGGACCACGTAGATAATTAAAAATTATTGAGGACTGATTTGGAAAAATACTTTATTACAAAGGACTATTTTGGGAATTTACTCAAAATTTTAATTTGTTTTGGACCGCACGACCAGTCTTCAACAAGTTTTGGTGCCGTTGCCGGGGAAGTTTTGTATGAAATCACTTTAGTATGCCATTGTATTCTTTGATTTTTGTTTATTAGTGAGCATGTCGTAATACCTCTTTTCTTGAGTTTTAATATGCCTATTCATAGAATTGAGGTTTTGCGTGTTAGATTGAACTAAAATCAGCCTTATTGACTCTCTTGAATGCTGAATTTTTGCTCCAATTGATGTTTTTATGAAATTTCAGGCCTATTTTTCATAAAAATTCGTTTTTGACACTATTTTCTGCATTTTTTTGCTGGTTTATGTATCCAATTGGTCATATATGTTGCATTTGTGCTACTTTGTTCATTTTTTTATGAGTACAACATGTATGGTTTGATTAGGCAAGAGTTGTGCGCTGATCTTGATGCCTTTAATGCTAAATATGCAAGAAAAAAATGATTTTACTTGCTGTTTTTTTATAAATCTGCATTACTCTTGCTGTTTTTGTTCTTTAAGAGTGCTGCATTGCTTCAAATATGAATTATAATTGATATATGTTGCTTGGGGACAATATTTTGAAGCATGCAATGATGTTTTTATGCTGATTTTGATGTTTTAGGGGCTGAAATTTTTATAAAATTTGATCTAAAGTGCTGTTTTTTTTTAAAATCTGCATTCTTTTCTTATGTGCAAACTGATTTTTATGTTCCAAAGATGCTTATGTGCTAAATTTTGAATCGTATTTGTTAAAACTTGCATGGGTACTAATGTGGGAGCATTTAGCATGAGTTTTCAATCTTGTCTTGATCGTTATATGCTCCTTGTTGCTCTCTAAGTGAAAAAATGCAGAAAATCTATTTCAAGAAGACTTTGAAACCTATTTGTGCATCTTTAAATCTGATTTTTCCATTCTTAATGGAACATAAACTGCTATTCTTCGAGCTAAAGTCAATCCTTGATACTTATTTTGTTTTCATCTTTTTTGGGGTGTTTTAAAGAAACACATGTTCTTATCTTACTACTTCATTCCTTAAGTGAATATTAGTTGGCAAGTAGTAAGTTTGTCTAGCCAAAGACTTTAAATCGGGCGGCTTATGGGAGGCAACCCACTTTCGTTTTAAGTTTTTTTATTGCATCTTTCTTTAAAAAAGTTCTTTTTACTTCTAACTTCTAGTTATTGTTGTAGTTTTTTCTCTTATAGTTGTTGATTGCATTTTTTTATTTTTAATATTTTTTTTTAACATGACCCACTTACTTTTATAGCGTTTTTAATTTTTCTTTGAATTTCTTATGCTTACTTCTATCTTTAATTAATTTCATTAACTTGTTGTACTTATTTTTTTCCTTGTGGTCGTTATTTTGATTTTCTTTTTATTTCTTTTAGTAACCAACTTACCTTTATTCTATTTTTTTCCGTCCATATTGATGTAATATTACTTGTGGTAATCATAGGAATATTTTTTCTCTCTCTTTCATTTAGTTTTTTTTGAAATATAAAATCAAAACAAAAAAAAGTTATCTTGATGAGCTTAAATGTTTTTTACTTCATTTATGCTTCTAACCATCTACTTTGAGAGCTTTTTGCAAGATTTGTTGAGTTTTAGGTGGAAGCATATGTGTTTGGAGTAAATATCTGCACAAAAATGGTGCAAAATCTGTTTTGAAACAGCGATTCTTGGCGCCCGAGTGTTGGTATATTGTCTATCTTATGTTTCTTGAAGCCTTGGGTGTTTACATTTGATCATTTATGGATTGAAAACTGAAAAATTCTGCACTTTTAAGGCTAATTTTTGGGTACTAATGGAATTAATCTGCACTTCTCTATTTGATTTTTGGGCTATATATTGGAAGATATGCAGTTTGTAAGCTGTTTTTTTAGTGCATAATGAAAATTCTACACTTTTCACAGTTTATATGTGCTAAAATGGAAAAAATATGGTTTTTTGTTCTTCAATGATAAAGTGCTTGGTCTTAGCCTTGACTTTGCAAATTTTAGGTCAATCGAGCACTATAGAATGAAGTGATGATTGATGCAGCGTATACGTTTTTAGTTGCATTCCCCTTTCCCCTTCTCTCCTCGCTAAGTCTGTGCTTACTTAATATTGTCATATCATATAGATGCATTGAGGACTATGCATATTTTAAGTGTGGGGGGAGGTTCTCCTTATTATTTCGTTGTTTGGGGGAGATTAATTTTTGGGCAATTTTTTTTTCTCGATAAGTTTTGGGTCCAAATATTTTGGTTATTCTTAGTTGCATATCTTCTTATTTAGAGCATTGTTTTTAGATTTGGCCCATAAGCCTCATTTTTTTTTCTTTGAGCTTAATTCTGAAAGATGACAAATGTTTCTTTTATATACTCGCCTTGATTCTTATGCCCTTTTTCTTGCTAAAATGACCTTAAAGTGTTCGAATCCTTCTAGGTATTCTTTAGAATTTTATTATCTAGATGTTTTAATAACCTTATGTGATCTTTAAAATCGAAAAAGAAACCAATTCTGGAGTTTTCTTTTATTTTAGAAAATTGTATTTTTTTTTAATCTTTTAGGCTTATTTTGTTGAATTTTGCTACCGTTGCCATTGAGCCGTTTTGAAACATAGGATTCCCATAGGAAACTTTTTTGTGGCAACTTTAGAGCAATTTTTTTTAGAACCCAAATAATCCATATTTTAGTTTTTTATCCTTGCAGGATTTTTAGCTTACTTTGTTTCCAAAAATGTTATGGGCATAAAGTCTTAGGAGTGGGTTTGTAAGGTGTATTTTGTTCTTCTTGATGATGATAGAAAATCATTTATTTCTATTTGGTCTTTTGAACGAGGGCGTTCAAGTCTTATGTGTGGGGGTATTTGATAAGTCGTTTTTGGATTAGTACTTTTTTATTCTTTTTTAGGCATTCTTAATATTTTTAGTGTTTAATTTTTAGTTGTTTAATTAGTTTTATTTTAATTTTCATTTTTACTATCTTTTAATTTTTCTTTCAAAAATATAAGTTTTTAATCAATTTTTTTTTCATTTTATTATTTTTATTTTATTTTTTCTAACTCAAGTTATCAAATATCTTATTTTTTGGAGAAACGTATAGTAAAAAGACAAAAATGCAATTCAAGTTTCAGATGAAGATATTGATTTTGGGCCGAAGCCCAAACCCATTATTAAATCAACAACAAAATTGGCCCAAGACTCCATCCTCCTCTTTTGTTTCACGCAAAAAAAGGAGAACACATCAACGCCATCTTCTTCTTCATAGCGTAGGAGGCGGAAGACCAAATCAATGCTTGCGAGTTGCGACAATTAATCATCCAACGGGAAGAATTTCAACGGGACATATTCTTTGTATAAATTGAAGGCAAATTGCACAATTCAAGGGGAGAATCGAACGAAAACAGAGCAGCGGCTTTGGCCGCTGCTATCTATGCACTATGGTGGCGACCGGTGGAGAAGTCCGGCGACGATGGTGGTGGCCGCGGCGGCGGCAACAGCTCCAGTGGGCGGCAATCTCTAACCCCGGTCTTGGTTCCTTCAAACTCCAATTCCTTCAATTTCTTCATCTTCTTCAACAATTGGTAACCCTTATTTGTCAATTTTTATTTTTTCCTCCAATTCTATGTAAAAGTTTTTCTGATACAATTTTACATTTTTTGTTTGTTTGTATTTGTTCCAAAAAATTCCAAAACATGGTTGGTGTTTTTTTATGGGTGTTTTTTTAATGTTTATATTAAATCCCTTATGAATGAAAATTGATTCAAACTAGTTTTCTTCAATTATTGAGCAAGTTGTTGAATTGGTTGAATTGTTTCAAATTCATAAGTAGGTTGGTATGTGGAATTCGGTTTTTTTTGAAGCTATCTTAGCTCCATAAGATAGTTAAATGAATTCCGAATTCATATGTGATTCTTTGCTGTGCTTGTGTTTGTTGATTTTAAGGATTTTGGACTTCTTAGCTCCATAAGATGATTCATTTTTCTTAAAATTCGTTATTGAGT